GCAATGTAAATGTTTTGTGTTTTCATACTGCCTTATCTGTGTCTTTTCTCCCCTTCTGTTCTTGTCTGTGTCTTTCTCCTGAAGGCTCTGGTAAGGAGGACGCACCCATGTGCACACATGTGGACGCTCTGGCTCAGACTGAGGGTGCCTGGGACGTCCCTCCTGCTCATGCGGTGTAGCCAGGCAGGCACAGGGATAGAAGGGAGTTGGCGCTCACTTTTGCACCAGGCAGAGGGTCAGCCTGAGAGTGTGTGTTCCTGCTGCCTCCAGCTGCCCTGGAGAAGAGTAGAGCAGTGCTGACCTTTGACGGGCTTAGGCGGTGTCCTCGGGACTCTGAGCATCAGCCCTGAGAGCCACCTTTTGCTCCTTCACTCTCTCTTCCATCTTGTTCAGGGAACACACTAGTGACACTTACAATGCCATACAACTTCAGTTTTAGGCCTCAGATGTCAATAAATGAAATTTCTACAAATTAAGTTTAAAGATCTAAACTTAGACCTATATTGGCTTTTATTAGTGATTGATGAACAGGGCAGCGTCTCTTCTAAGGAACAGAAAGGCTGACGAGAGCAGGGGAGGTAGGCTTTGCAGGCAGAAAGGGACCAGAAAAGAAACAGGAACAAAAACTAGATTGGTTGTTTAAACTTACTTTACTATCGGATTAAAACAGAAGAGACTGGGCCCCTTTGCTTGCTGAAAACTGAAACGTACTCAGGTTCAGTTTGGTTACGTGGCACCAAACGTAGCGTGAATGACTGTGTTCTGTTTGGTCTGGTGTGCAGGTCAGTCAAGATGAAGGCCTCCCATGATTTAATTTAACACAGGCTTCTGCTACTTAGTCACTAACGTCTTGAGCATCACAGTAAACCTCACTATACATTCCATAAAGAGAAAAGCCAGGTTCAGGGGATTTTTCTTTAGCTCAGTTACTTTGCACCTTTTGAAAGAGAACAAACACTGTATGAAATTTTTTACTGAATGTACTTGGCTGCATCTTGTACATTAGAGTAGTGTTCTTGGTTTTGTTTTCTAAATTGAGAACAGCTGTTAATTTGGAGATTTCATTTTTACATTTGGTTAAAGAATGCTTTTTTAATTATTTAATCTTTGGCTATTCGTTTTTGTTTTTGTGGACTTTATAAAAATTTAACTATGATAACTTTGAGGTTTTTAAGGTAGTCTTTTGACTAAAATATCCATATTACTGGGCGGGGCTTGTGGCTCAAAGGAGTAGAGTGCCGGCCCCATATACCAGAGGTGGCAGGTTCAAACCCAGCCCCAGCCAAAAACTAAAAAAAAAAAAAAAAAAAAAATCCCTATTACAAGGGTGTTTCCTGAGTCCTCTTAAATAATAATAGTTAATATATTTAGAATAATCAGTTTAATTAGCTATTATTTGTATTACCCATGTTCTAATTTTTTTTTTTTTTTGCAATTTGTGGCTGGGGCTGGGTTTGAAACTGCCACCTCTAGCATATGGGGCCAGCACCCTAGTCCTTTGAGCCACAGGCGCTGCCCCATGTTCTAATTTTTAAACCTACAAGGTTTGCTAAAAATTAGTATATTCATTCTTTTAAATGATTGTTTTCTTATTTTTTTTAAGTTTTTATGTTTATGTATTTTGATAATCTTATTCTGACATGAAAGCACACAATCTTTTCCTGATTTTGTTGACAAATGTTTATTGGCAAATTTTTATTTTTCTTATATTGCATTTTTCCCTAAATTTACCTCTTCCTTTTTAAAAAATATTGTTTTCCTCATGCTAAGGAAAACCCTAGGAAGATACTGCATTTCTTTCTAAATCTCTCCATAGTTCTTGCCTCCTTTTATATTAAACCTTAAAAAATGATAATTTACATCCTGTTTTTTATTTTATTTTTTTGAGACAGAGTCTTATTCTCTTGCCCTGGGTAGAGTATACTGGTTCCATCGTTACTCACTGCAACTTCAAACTACTGAGATCAAGTGATCCTCCTGCCTCAGTCACCTGAGTAGCTGGGACTACAGGCTTGTGCCACAACCCCAGGCTACTTGGTGTCTTGCTCTTGCTCAGGCTGGCCTCAAACTCCTGAGCTCAAGTGGTCCTCCCACTTTGGCCTCCCAAAGTGCTGGGATTACAGGTGTCAGCCACCACACCTGGCTGGATCCTCTCTTTTCTACGTTATTACCTCTCAAGGAGTCTTTATTCCATTGCATCTGAGTAGGTTGGTATTCCTGTGTGTGGATCAAATGATTTTGATGTGGAAAAGATTGCCAGCGGCACTGTAATTGTTAACTTGGATGGATACTTAACTCTTTGATATCGTTGTAGATGTTGATTTTTATCTTGTTCGTGAGCTTATTCTGCCTTTGTTATTGGGGCAGTACTCCTTTATTTTATAACTTAATTTTGATGTAATTTCAAACATATAAAAAGTTGTGTGATAGGGCTTAGGAAGGAAGAACTGTCATGTGTCCTGTACGCAGATTCATAGGCATGTTTTCCTGAACCGTTTAAGTTGGAGGGAGGTACCTTGTCCCTTTATCTCTAAATACTAATTGCATATTTCCTAAGAAGCAAGGACATTTTTATATACACTCAGAATATAGTTATCAAATTATGAAGATTAATAGTGACACAACAATCTGGTTCATAGGATATATTTAAATTTTGTTGGTTGTCTTAATAACACGTTTTGTAAAAGCTGCTTATTCCCTTCCCAGTTCAGGATCCACTCTGAGGTCATGCATTGCAGCTTAGTTGTCATGTCTCTTTTGTCTCCTGTAATGTGGAACAGTTCTTCAGCCTTTCCTTGGCTTTCTTGCCCCTTATATGTTTAAAGAGTACAGGCCGATTTTGTAGGAAGCCTCTCAGTGCGAACTTGTCTGTTTGCTCATGATTAGATTTAGGATATTTGATGTCCCTCCTATCTGTCTGCCTGTCTGGGTGCAGCGTCTCATCTCTGCAGTGGTGTCCCCTGTCCTCAGCGCATGATATCAGGAGGCGCGCATGTCCCTTTGCCCCAGTACTGCTAACGCTAGCCTCAATGAGTTGGTGAAGGTGTGTCTGCTAAGCTTCTTCACTGTCCTGTTATTTTTTTTACCCCTTTCTAACTAACGATTTGAGAAAGATGTGATGAGACTAGGTAACTATCTTATTCTTCAGCAAACTTTTGTTGCTTTAGTTTTAGCATCATTGATAAATTCCACTGTCCTTTTATGATTGTTAGTTGGCATTATGCTAAAAGGAAAAGCTGTCCTTTTTTCTGCTGTTTATTTATTTCTATCATTATGAGCTCATGGATTGTTATATTCACTTGATTATAATCTAGAACTATTATTATTTATTTTGACATGCTAATTGTCCTGGACTTGGCCAGTGGAAGTCCCTTTATTTTGTTTCCTGAGTTATCTTACTATGACCCCATGATTCCTTTACTGCACCTGGAGAGTATGTTCCAGGTTTATCATGTATTTTCTTGGCCTCAGCTCTGGAATGAGCCATTTCTTTCTGGTTATTTTAAAAAAAGAATGGTAGTTATAGCCAACTGGGAGCTGAAAGCTGAGTTGTTATTACAAGGTAGGTCTTCCTAGTGCACTGGGTTGGGAGATGAGTGTGTGTGTGTGTTTGTGGATACATGTAAAGATATCTCTATCTGTGTTTTTATATCTGTTGAAAACTGTCAGTCTTGATAATCTTCTAACTCAGAATCTTAGGGTATAGTCTAATCTGACATGGCCGTGTTTGTAGTTGTTTACAGTGCACATCCTGACTCCCTTGACTTCATTTGCTCAATTTTAGAATACATTAAACCTAGTTTCATGCCACCACACAAAACAGAATTGCTAAATAGAGTACAATATTTCTTACAAGTTTTGGAGGCAAATCAGCTATGAGAGATGCACAGTTACGTGGTCAGCATTTTCTTTTTGCATTTTGACTCTACACTCTCAGTTCCCTGTGCATCCTGATGTTTCCTTCGCAGTTCTGTTTGCTGGCTCCCCTTCTCTGTTCTTTATGTTATTCTCTATTATTCTATAGAGTTCTCTCTTCTGTCACTTGTGTTACTTTGTGTTGTGTACCTATTTGAAGTCTCTGCAACTAGAGTCAAGATCTCAAGATTGAGACTAATGCATTTTTGTAACTCCAGGGTCTTTCAGAGTGTTAGCTATGTGGATAGGTGTTAAATAGGTGTCTAAATGAAAAAAAAAATGTGCACACAGTAGTATTACTTATGTCAGTTTATAGGTGGTGAATAGATGCCTAACTTGAGAGTACTGAATACCTACAAGATCAGATTTGTATGATGCTAGATGAATGATCTTATTTCATTAATTCTAAACTGTGCATTTATTATTTTTATTATTTTATTTTACATTCTATCCTTTGTGAAATAGAGCTACGTCTTCAGTTCATGGCTCTTATAATTAGTATGAGGCAGCTGTGAAACATTGCCGGATTTCTAGGTAAAGAAAAAGCACTAGCATCAAAATGTTTTAAGATTTAGTGAAACATAGAACAGTTATTTTGGCCAGTTTTGACACTATACAATGAGATACTTTGGGACCGTTTGCAAGATATAAAAGACAAGCTAAAATCCTTAATGTTGAGCTTGGGAAACATAAGTTGAAATGAGTTGGATTACTTTTGTCACTTAGCAGTGAATTTCTGGGCTAACTCTACAGACAACAGGACTGTGACATCCCTCAGGACAGGGTCGTGGTCCTGTTTGTCTCTCTGTCACCAGCAAATGGCCACGACTTTAAGATGTGCAAGTGCTAATTTGAACTCCAACTGATTAATTTCAGTGAGCATTCTCCTGCCTTTGTGGACAGGGCAGGGCAGGATGCTCCCTCTGTGGAGTCCTGATGGGATTATTTGAGAAAGGCTGATGCTGGGTAGATCCTTTGTCTTATGACCCTAGGAGACCATAGAACTCTGATGAGGCTGATGTTATGACTTCTTTTTTATTTCATTTATCAATTAAAAAAATAACACTTATCTTATTTATCAACAGGAGTGAAACCTCGGTCTGGCTGGGCTATCGATCCTTTTGGATATTCACCAACGATGGCTTACCTTCTGAAACTCTCTGGATTTTCTCATATGCTCATCCAGAGAGTTCATTATGCAATTAAAAAACACTTTTCATTGCAGAAATCATTGGAGTTTTATTGGAGACAGAATTGGGGTACGTAGGGTTTGATAAAAGTTGGAGATCCCCCTTGACCTGCTTGTTGTTTCATAAGGCTTTTGTGAAATGTATGAACTCAGGCTGTGGTGGGTTTTATTCAGTGTCAGTCTTAAAAAAACCAGGTAGTGTAAAAATATTCTTAAAATTATTTTTCCCATGTATTTGTGTCAAGATTTACCTATAGAACATAGTAAAAATTTTTTTAATAAGGACTTAATATTTTGCAAATAATAGTTTCCCTTCTGTTTTAGAAAGCATATTTTATCATTGCATTGAAATAGATTAATTCTGATATTCAGGTCATTTATCTTATATTGAGCCAGTGTTCTTTTCTTCTGTCTCTTATCTCTACATCTTGTAGGAATTGCCTTTTAAAACCTAACCCTGTCATCCTTAAACAGTCTTCATATCACCTGTATCACCTGTTTTAACAGTGTGTTATGCGGGCACCCAGCTGTTCCAGGGAAATGCTTCTGGGCAGCTCTTTGTTAGGGAAGAACTGGCAAGATTTAGGCATCTTTGCCTGCCCAACCCCCACTGAATTCTTAACACCTTGTTTTTTATTTATTTTAATTTACTAAGTCCTTGCTTTGAGCCATGCATTATGTTACATGCTTTATATATACTCATTTACTCTTTATAAGGATTCTTTAAATTAGGTTCTAATATTGTTCCTTTTTTATGATGAACAAATGAAAGCTTAAATAGGTTAAGCCATTTGCCAGAAATCATATAGGTTATAGGTACAGAGCAGAGACTGGAATAGAATTCTCTTCAGTCCCTGAAGGCCAGGCTTCTAACATGGGCACGGAGTTCTCAGTAAGATTTCATCTGGAAAAAGAATTTCTTTGTTAAAACAATGTTGGAAAATTACTGGATGACATCATATTTTCTTTTCTGTGTAATCTAGACCCATTAAGTATTTCTGAAAAATAATTTGTAAATCTAGATGGTAAGTTTCTTATATGTACTGCTGCTTTTTCAGTAAGAAAAGCAATTAGCTATACAGATTTTTAATTCTGAAAAATTAAACCTGTAGCGAGTGTAAGAATTTGCAAGAGGTTGTAGCCTGTGTAGTTTAATGAAATGCAAAAGAGCATGTTAATTTGAAAAGCGAAGCATTGGTGATTTGAAGAAGCCATATTTTGAATGATTGTCTACATTTAAATTGCCCATAAATACTCGTCAGTAAGAAATTATTGAGTACTTTTATGTATTTATTACTGTACTAGCAAGAAATACAGAAAATATCCATTCCTATAAGAAAATTACAGTAGAATTTAATAAAATGCAGATACGACAAAATGCAGCAGATAAAATTAAATGTACAAATGAGCCTCCAAACAGTAGAGTAGAAAGAGAATTAGTGGAGTATTAAAAATGTCCTTGTCCGTAGGAGAAAGAAAAGGGAAGTTGCCATCAGCTCTGGCGCTTGGGACAGATGGCCTACATGCACATAGCAAGCATTAGTGACCAGCATCCGTGGTGTCACTCTGGTGAATGTGATTCAGTGCAACAGCTGACAGCACTGAAATATATAGGGTTTAATAGTTTTAATTTGGAAATTAAGTAGCAATTATTTTAACTAAATGAATAAAACTGGAGAATTTTAGGACTTATCCAGTGAATTCGAACATGTTGCTTTCATTTATTTACTTATTTATTTTGCAGTTTTTGGCCAGGGCTGGGTTTGAACCCACATCTCTGGCATATGGGGCTGGCGCCCTACTCCTTTGAGCTACAGGCGCTGCCCAACATGTTGCTTTTAAAAAGATGTTTTTAAATTAAGATGAACTTGTTTGTATGTTCCAGTTCTTAATGAAGTAGTTATTCCTTAAAAATGTAAATTGTTTCTTTTTTGTTTTCCTTTTATCTTCCTCATTGTAAAAGCATTACATTGCTGAAGATTGGAAAGCTGTACATAAATAAAGGGGATTCTTGCAGAGATGATCACTTTTAACTTGGGGTTAAGTCCTCCCATCTCGCATGGTTGTAGGCTTCTGAGTTCTCCAGGGCAGTGGTATCAACACATTGATAAAATTGTGGTTTTAATTACAATTCTACATTAGGAATCACTGCTCATTTTCCTTATCATTTTTGGTTTTGTTTTTGAAAATTAATTTTTCTTTTTCTGTGCTCCCTTCTTGGTGAAAAATGCCCCCACCAGCTCTTTTTTGGTGAAATGGGGAAGGACTCTAGAACTTCCCTCTGTGTCCTCACTGCAAGAACCTCGTGGGACTTTGTCCAGTGTTTTCGTAAGCCCCATCCCACCTTCTGCCTTTGTTCTTCCAATTCCCTTTTGTACTCCCTTCTTCTCTCCCCACATAGCCTCTGCAGCTAATGTCATGGTCTTTCTGTGTGGCCAAGAATGGACATGGCCATGATTTTGGATGAGCTGGTGTCTTTTACTGCTGCTCAGTTGTATCCTTCCAGGCCAGCAGACGCTGGATCCTGATGGGGCTTTTCTGTCTCTGCCCTAGCTAGATAGAAGAAGCCTAGAGAGGCTGAGATGTGTATCTTCCTTCAGACTGGTGGCAGTAAGTACTGCTGGGTATCTGTTCTAGAAGTTAGAGGGACTGTTGATTAGAGCTTGTATAAACCAACAGCATTTTGAATAGTTTTTGGGAAAACAAATTTAATAAAATGCAGATTGTGTGTGGGCTCTTTATTTCAGATCTGGGATCTGTCACAGATATTTTATGCCACATGATGCCCTTCTACAGCTATGACATCCCTCACACTTGTGGACCTGATCCTAAAATATGCTGCCAGTTTGATTTTAAACGGCTTCCCGGAGGCAGAGTTGGTTGTCCCTGGGGAGTCCCTCCAGAAACAATACATGCTGGAAATATTCATAGCAGGTAAGAAAATATGTGTTTCAGAAGAAGACAACATCTTGAATAAGATAGCTACTCAGCTGATTGTTGCTGCAAGGTTGAACAAATGGGCTTTAGTAGCCAACAAGATCCTTCTTTGAGCTATCTGTTCAAACCACATCTAAAGCAAAGAAAGGCCAAAGCCTCTACTATGCCTCTTATGTTTTATAGTTTAATGGAAACTGAACAAGGTTAGGCCAATATCCAGTGGATAACTTGTAATAAATTATTCCTATCTCCTTTGCCTGCATTCTGAAAGCTGTCTACTATGTTTGATTGATTTCATGTGCTTTCTGGTCCCTATTGAACTAAATGATAAGAAAAAGCAACCCAACTGCAAAAACACATTTACAGAAATGTAACACATAAAGAGTGTAATTATCTGTTCCCTTAATAACAATTTCAATAATAGTACCACCCAGCTCTGAACACATATTGGTCTGATGTTTTTGACATATAGAAAACTTTAAGAATAGTTATACTTAAATACACTTAAATAAAAATCAAAGGAATGAATCATTTATTTAGAAGAAAATTATCTTAATGATGGAAACATCTTATTGAACCAAGTTACCTATAGTTTCCAGTATTGGTGGTTTTAAAGTTTAATATCTTCACTTAAAAATTAGTGGTGTATAATAAATAAAAATGAAACACTATGTTGTAATATAAAAACACTAAACTGTGCTAGGAAAATAGTGTAGCCCTTTAAATAAATTAAGATTTTGTGCTATCAAATCAATTTATTTTTAAAAAGTTTCACTGAAAAAATGTGAGTACACGCTGGAAGGGGTTATACAGCTCACCCCCTGGGTGAAGGAGTCAACTGCAAGTTGAACTTTGCCTTAAAAATGAAAACAGTGTAACCTAAACATTTATACCCTCATATCAATCTGAATTTTTTTTAAAAAAGAAGTTATAATAAGGGGTTACTTCTCTCTTTTGAGTCATTTTTTTTTGTGATTTAGTAATGAACCATAATTGCATAAATCAATGTTAATTTATGACCATGAAACAATAAAATATTGATGAAATAAAAAAATGGAAGGAAGGTGAAATTGGATCTTTTTTTTCTTTTAATTTTTTTAATTTTTCCTTTAGAGACAGATTCCAACTCTGTCAACCAGCCTGGAGTGCAGTGGTGCAGTCATAGCTCACTGCAACCATAGATTCCTGGGCTCGGGTGATCTTCCTGCTTCAGCCTTCAGTGTTGTTGGGGCTACAGGTGTGCACCACTGGGTCCAGATAACTTTTTTGCTTTTTTGTGGAGACAAGGTCTGTTCCAGTGTGATACTCTCACTGGGGCAGATTTGAAGGTGTTTCGACATGGCAGTCTTGCAATGGGGCCCTTCTATCAAAATCCAACTTTCGTAGTTTTTGAAAAACAGCCTAGGATTCCATTTTCTTGGTTCCTACAACAGTGGGAACGAGTGAGGAACTCTTAGTAGCTTGCTTTGTAGCTAGGGTTAGGCAAGGTAGGCATTGGAGAATTAGCCAGTATATTATGTAGCAGAAGGTATAGTGAAAAGGAGAGGGGTGAGGATAGTAGGACCTTTGCCTGTGTGTACTTGGGAAAACAGGTTTTGTATTTATAGGTAGTTACATGACTCCTCTCTGCCCAAGTGATCAGGAATGGGGAACATTTTTAAGGTTAGCCAGATGTTTCAGTTGTAGAGTCCTAGTGCATTCATAGGTAGTGTGAGCCTCTCTTTCTGTCTTTTTGGTGCTGCTGAGACTACCTGTTTGAAGAACATTATTAGGGGGAAAAGACATTTTTGTATTTCTTTTGGTGTCTCATCTGACCCTTCAGTGATTGCCCCTCAGCGTCATGCATTGTAGGGAGTTCCAGTGATGGAACTCCTGGCACCTGTGGTTTCCAGATACTTGGGTTCACACAGGAGCATGAATCTTTGTAATACTTACATAGGTTTTTTATTTAAATCTTCTTACACGTTTTGAAATCTTTACTGGTCACTTCACGTCTGGATATCACCACCTTTTTGACCTGGTGATGAATGGAGATCAAACACAGGCGTTACAGCTCATTGGCACCTTTCAGCTTTCTATGTGAAAGACCATAAAGAAAATGAGATTTAGTATAATACACAGGTGGCACCACTTGATAGGTCCAGTTCAGCAAATTCTTCTACATTGCAAATAGAGAAATATTAAATTGCTCATGTCTGTTAGGGTCTCCCTTATAAATTGAGGAGCATTCTGGTTGGGTGCATAAATGTTAATAATTGACATCTCACCATGTTGAGTGTTTCCCTTAACAAATACAAAGTGACCATCTTTGTCTTTCCTTACTTTTGTTGGTTTAAAGCTTAGTGTATCTGTAAGTAAAATTGCAACCCCTACTTTTTTCTGATTTCCATTTGCCTGGATTACAGATGCCCATACCTTCACCCTGAATCTATCTTTATCCTTTAAGGTAAGATGAGAATCTTACATGCAGAAGATATCTGGCCTGAGTTTTCGTATCCAGTCAGCCAACCTGTGCCTCTTTAGAGGACAATTTAAGCCTTTCACATTGAGAATATTGATAAGCCTGGTAAAATTTTGGGTCTCGAGTTTTTCGAAAGTCCAGTGGACATTTTTAATCCTTTCACCACTATGGAAGTTGGAATTTGATCAAAAATTTCTGAGTAAGTTTACTTTTGTGGTAGAGGATTATGCTGGTCATTCTGTAGGATAGGTCTGAGAATTTCCTGGAGAGCTGGTTTAGTTATGGCAAATTTCTTCAACGTGTGAATGTCATTAAAGTAGAGTAATGTCATTTCTCCATCATAAATGAAACTCAGTTTAGCTGGATACAGGATCCTGGGTTGAAAGTTACTTTGTTTTAGGAGGTTAAAAGTCAATGACCACCCTATTCTAGCCTGAAAGGTTTCAGCCGAGAGAGCTGCAGGCGTTCTAATATTCTTTCCCTTGTAGGTTATGGTTTTCTTACATCTAGCTGCTTTCAGAATTTTCTCTTTCATATTAACTTTAGTGGAGTTAATTATGATGTTCCTGGGGGAAGTCTTGTTCAGAACTGTCTGAACTGTCTGCTATCTGAGTTTCAGAATCTCTTCACATATTTGGAAAGTTCTCTTTCACAATTTCATGAAGAAGAACCTCTGTTTTGTGAAGCAACTTCGTCACCTTCAGAGATTCCTATAAGGTGAATATTAGTTTTCTTCGAATTATCCCAGAGCTCTCTGAGAGAATGATCCATTTTTGCTCATCATTTCTCTTCCTCTTTGAGCACTTGGGCACTTTCAAAAGCTTTGTCTTCAATGTCAGAGATCCTTTCTTCTGCCTGCTCCATTCTGTTAGCACAGGATTCTACCATATTTTTTCAGATCTTTGAGGGCTGCAATCTCTTGCCTCAATGTGTCAAAATCTTTGGTCATTTTATCTTTGAAATCTTTGAATTCTTGAGACATCTTTTGAATAATTTGAAATTCTGATTCCCTCCCTTCCTCCATTCTGTTGATCTTATTTGCTATCTAGACTCTGAACTCGATTTCTGACATCTTAGCCATCTGTTTATGGATGGCGTCTTCAGTTGCATCTGCCGTGTCCTTCCTTGGTGGGGGTTGATCAACTCTGGTTGTTCATGATACCAGAGTTTTTACACTGATTTCAACCCATGCTAAATTTACACCGTTTGGCTAGGTGAGCAAATAAGGAGAAGTTGGGTTGGGGGTTCCAGGAGTAGTGATTAGCTAGCTCTTTGCCCAAAGGCTGGGACTAGTGTCTGTACCTTTTCCCCTAGAGCTTTGCCAAGGACCTGTACAGTGCTATGGCCTAAGAAACTGGGGGCCTGCTTGGGGTGGTGGAGCTAACTGTCTCTGTCTTGTTTTCAGCTGGTCTCTGTTCTACCCTAGTGTATCAGTTACTCTGGGTTGAAGTCTCAGCTGTGGAGAAATACCAGCAATTAAGTCACCCTGTCCCCCACAGGCAACAATTGGGAAAGGAAAATCACATCTTCCCACAACCACACACTCAGGGTACCACTTTGGATAGTCCTCGGGTGATTGGCCCAGTTCAACAGGCCAAATCAATTGTCTCAGTCAGCACTGGTCTCAGATGGAGGAGTTCAAAAGGTCTCTGGCAACTAGACAGCAGGGGTCTGCTGGCAGTTCAGGTGTGACTGGCTCTGGTGCTCTGTGAGGTCAGAAGGACCAATCCAGCGAATAAATTGGTCTGGGAAGGTTGATGCCTTCTTCCCCACCTTGCACCTTTGTCGCACCCAGTCACTGGTAACCCCACAAGGCTGTGACCCATTTGTCCAATAAGCGAGTGTGGCAGGGCTTTATGTCTGCCAGAGTCAAAGTAAGTCAGTGCCTCCTCCACTCGGTTACCACTCTTTGTTGCCCCCCAGCAGAGGGAGCTGAAGCCTGTCTGTCTCAGGCACTCAGTGGCAGCTGGAGAATGTTCCACTTGAAGTCAACCTAGACCTGAGGATATCCAGACAGCAAAAGAGATTCTCCCTCAATCACCTTTGTCACTGCTGTTCTGTAGCTCTGAAATCCCTATAGGGTGAGGTCTGGTTCCCTCTGGCAGACCCCAGAGTTGAGGAGGTGACTCTCCAAAGTTAGACTCCAGCAGGGTTGCTGTATTAATGCTGATGTTGGATGGGTGGTGTCCCCAGTTGGATTCGTGCACCTCAGCAGCTCCTGAGTCTCCACCCGTAGCACAGAGACCCAAGCCTCTGCCTGCTGAAATATGTTTCCTTTGAATCGTGGCTTGCCTCCATAGGGAGATGTGCATTTATCTCTGTCTTCTCTCAGCTCAGCTCCCTTCCTTCAGCTATGTTTGGTTCTTTCTGGCCGTTATCTCTCCCCCAGGACTGGAGTTTTTGTTGAAAACTAGCTCCATTCAGCCATCATCCCCTATCCCCCCATGTTCTTATTGAATGTGAAAATTAGAGTTAGGGAAAATAGCCCGAGGATTTAGCAAAGCACAAAACACGTTAAAACCAAACAAATAATCAGACAAAAAAGCTACCAGACACCCAAGCACACACAGATGTACATATAATCAGAAACAAGTAAACAAACAGACAAAAAAAAAACCCCAGGAAAAATGATAGTAATCATAAACTGATAAAAAAGAAAAGAAAAAAAGTAGAAAAAAAACTCGAGTAGCCTGATGTGAGCACTCTCAGCAACCTATAAGAAGGGAAGGAGAGGAAGAGAGAGAAAAGAAAAACAGTATTAATAAAATAATTAAGAATAAAAAAGGCACCACCAACAAAAATATTATTCTTGTATATATATAAAAATATTCAACTATACGTATGTCGGAGGGATCAACTTCAACGGGAATATATGTTGCAATATACTTCCTGGAGAGCAGGTGGCGCTGTGGGGGGGGTTCTCAGGCTTATGCCTATTTCTCGGTTTACGCTGTTTTCTTTGATGGTTGCTTGGCTACCTGCTAGGTGCTCAGACTCTGCGGGAATGTTGGTGCTTCCGGTTTCAAAAGGAATCCTGGCTGGTGGGCCTCACAAACTCTTCCCCACAACAGTTCCCACAAAGTGTGGGGCGTCCTGAACCAGTTTTAGGTGCAAGGATGGCTCCCTGGAGGCGAGACTCCACTTGCGACCCCCGCCACCAGAAGAGGTGCTTTGCACTCACCATCTCTGAACTCTCAAAACATGTCTGTTTCCTGACTGCCCGCCCAGCCTGGCTGTCCTGTTCCAGACGGCACCCCATGTGCCCTCCAAATTTGGCGCAAGAGTCCACTCTTCACCAGTTTTTCTACTCAACTCCTAGTTTCCCCTAGAACTAGAAATTGTAATCTTCTGTGGGTAAGGGGCTGGTTGGCACTGTCCGCTTCAGCGCCTCAGCCCAAAAACTTTTCAGTAATCTCTGTGGGGAAGGGGCTGGTTGCCACTGGCCCCACTTCTTTAGCATGGGAGCCCAAAGACTTCTCTATCAGACTCCTCTGCTTGGGTCACTCCCTGAATCCAGCAATCCACCAGATCACTGCACTCCCCAAACTGTTAAACTTGTATCCCATCTGCCATGGCACTCTGCCTCCTAAACTAGGGTGACCAGACATCCCGCTTTTTAACAATTTGTCTTGCATCCCACAGTGTTTTAAAAAAAGTCCCGATTTATGGAAAGAATGCATGAACAGGCGGGAGAACAGGAAGGGAATATACGGTTTTCGGCTGCCATGTGGCTATTTCACCAGGATATGAGTTTTATATTGTTTTTGTTAATTTTATAGTGTTAAACTGTAATAATAACAAATAATTGTTGAGAAGTGATTATCAAGAACTGCTTATCAAAGTTTGCATTGTTGTCAGGCCCTGCCCTGCACCACCTCCACCCTACCCCCAGCGATGTCATCCCACTTTACCAATGTTAAAATCTGGTCACCCTATCCTAAACCCTCGTCCTTCTGTTATTTTGACCGATCTCAGAAGAAAAAAAGATAAACTCTTCACTGGGAGGTTTCACAAGTTCTCCCTGCACAAGTTCCTGTGAAGTGTGGGGTATCCTGGAGCAGTTTTGGGTACAGAATGGCTGCCTGCTGGTGGGATTCAAATTGCCACATCTGGCCTGTGGGAAAAGGTGGCTGTGGCTGTCATCATCCCTATAATTACAAAGTGTGTCTGTTTCCGAAACAGGATTCTTTCCCCTCAATTTTCTGTTGGGCTGCCTAGACCCCTGCCACTCCAAACGGGGTCCAAATGGCTCCCCTTTCTGGTGGCCAAATTCTTCTTGGGAGTCCACATCTCACCAAACTCTCCACAAAACACCCGAACTCCCTGTATATTGGGAACTGCAGTCCTCCGTTGGGGAGGGGTTGGTTGCTGCTGCCTCAGGCCGTCTGGCTGCTGCGGCTTGTGCCGTGCCGCTTTGGCAGCCACTGGAAACTTCTCTGCCAGACTCCAGAGTTGTGGGTTAAAATTCCAGTCCAGCAGTCCACCACCTTGCTGCACACCCAGCGATGCCTATCTCCACTGGCACTCCACTCAGGGAAAGATCCAGTCCCCTCCCTTCTCCTCGAACCTGAGAAGATTTGAGTCAAAGATCCATCCCATCCGCCATCTTGGTCCGCCCCCCCAACAGTCAAATATACAATAATTGTATTGATTATAATAATGCTTTTGCATTTAGCTGTTTCTTTTCCAATGAGTTGTCTGTTTTCCTTTTCTTGATCTAATTCATATTTCCCCTTTTTCTTTTGTAGGGCTTCATTGCTTTTAGATCAGTACCGAAAGAAGTCAAAGCTTTTTCGTAGTAAAGTTCTCCTGGCCCCACTAGGAGATGATTTCCGCTACTGTGAATACACAGAATGGGATTTGCAGTTCAAGAATTACCAGCGCCTTTTTGATTATATGAATTCCCAGTCTAAGTTCAATGTAAAGGTAATGAGGAAAACATTTATTTATGATACTATATTTGAAGTTGAGCCTTTATTATTTAATGACACTATACCACAAATTTTTAGTTTATCTTTCATCTCAGTACTTCTTAAAATACATAATTCTTATATAAAAGTGTAATTCATTAAGAAGAAAATTATTGCATACTGTGGTTCTATTTCTAAAGTTGTCCTTTTGCTACCTACCACTCTTTGAGGATTAGAGAGGAATTACTTTTTTGTGATTGGGACTATGTACCTACTAAATTGTGATATTTACTTTTCAGCAATATCCTGTTTTTCTGCAAGCGTTGAAAGTTTTATTGTTTCTCTCTGACATTTACATCCTCGTGATTTAGTAGTGTGACTGGCAGATATGATGAACATGTCATGAATTTTGCAAACAAAAGTCTTATGTCCAGAGAACACACTAGCATTTTTCTTAAAGGAGGAAACTTTTAAAATTAATTATTTTTCTCTGGTTCTTATTCTTTTTTTTTTCCTTCATGGAAAATTTAAAATGTAGTTTTGAGAATAGCAAAAATAGTCCCCTTCTCCCCATAGTCAAGGCTTAACAACAGCTGTGTCAACTCAAGGCAAGTCTAGTTTCAGCTGTGCTCTATGCTGCCTCACCCCTCCCTCTGGATTAGATTGGCATGAATCTCAGATGTTATGTGGTTTTGTCTGGAACTGTTCCCTTATCTCTAAATGATAAGGGTTCTACTCAAAGATACAATCACAATACTATTATCACATCTAAAAAATTAATAATAATATGATTATTATCATATTATCTGGATAATTCAGATTATCGGGATAGATTCAGATTTTTCTGATCTCATTTTTTTAAACAAATGCTTTTTCTGATCTCTTTTTTTTTTTTTAAACAAATACTTTGTTTGGGTCAAGATTCAAATAAAAGTCATAGGTTACTTTGGTCAATCAGTCTTTTTCTTTAATTACATAATTGTACGTATTTATGGAGTACATGTGGTATTTTGATTCTTGCCAACAATGTGTAATGACCAAATTTGAGAATTTAGGGTATCCATTATCTCAAACGTTTATCATTTCTTTCGGTGAAATCCATAAGGCTTTCTTTTCTTTTCTCCTTTTATTTCCCTGTTTCCAGAATGCAGAGACAATAAGTCATTTAAAGTCTTTTGAAAATGCATGTTAGAGACCCTAAATAAGAAAGAATAAGAAAATTTATGTTGTGGCAGGCGTCTGTAGTGCCAGCTACTTGGAAGGCTGAGGCAAGAGAATCGCTTAAGCCCAAGAGTTGGAGGTTGCTGCGAGCTGTGACTCCGCGGCACTGTACCCAGGGTGACAACTTGAGATTCTGTCTGAAAAAAATTAAAAAAAAAAAAAAAAGAAAATTTATTATTCAGCATATTTATTATTTCACACATTGGCCTGTAAGACGTTAGAAGATCTGTGAAAATACCATAGAAAGGAAGTGATGTTTCTGCATAGGAAAGAGAAAGCTGATAATGGGCCGTGGTTTCCATACTAAGAATTCAAGTTTATTGAGTAAACTTAAATAATATGAAATAGATTAAGATATCAAGCTTATTCAAATTATTTACAATGGAAGTTTTGCCAGATTGTGAACTCTAAGTATAGGAACTATGTTTAAATTATCTCTGTATTTTCCTCAAAGATGAAACTCGTATGTGAAATATTTAGTATTTTACCTTTTTCCTCCTTATTTGCCCATGAGAACAGGTTTTTAATAGTAATTTTAAAAACTGAAGTTTCACATACAGAGAAGTGCACAAACCATAAGTATACAGAGGACTTTTCAAGTTCAAAGGCCCCCAAGTACCCACCATCCAGATCAAGCTTAGCACATATATAGTGCTCTGGGAAAGGGCCTCAGATTCTCCTCCCAGGCACCACCAACTGCTGCTTTGCTTTCTGTTACCACACTGTCCCTGTTGCCTGTTCTTGAATTTTATGTGAAGGGAATCTCAAGTGTGTACCTTCTTGTGTCTGCCTCTTTTCTGTCCCTCACTGTGTTTGGGAGATTCATCCATGTTGCTGCAGGTGGTGTAAGCGTTTCGTTCCTTTCTGGTGCTCTGTAGTCTCAGTATCCATTTGATGGATATACCACAGTTGATCCATTATTTTGTTGTCGAGGTTGTTCTTGGTTTTTGCCTGTTTGGTCACTTGTGTATGAGTTTATGTGCATATAAAATGAGGTGGAATTTTATTGGTCATTGAATATGTACACATTCAACATTAGCATATCTGTTACTAAACTATATTGCAAAATAGACACCTCAGTAGTTGTGTTGTGTGACAGTTTCAGTTGTTCACACCTTTACTCCAGTTTGTATTCTCAGGATTTCTTTTTCATTTTATCCTTTTGATGGAATGATTGTATGGTGTATTTCTCTGTAGTTGATGAGGTTTAGCCTCTTTTTTAAGTTTCATGCCATTTCGGTATCTTTTTTGTGACGTACATAGTTAAATCTTTTGATTATTTTTCTAAGCAAATTTGGGTCATCTTATCTTTTTCTTGCTGTTCATAGCTCTGTTATATATTTTGGATTTAGTCTTTTTTTAGATAAAATTTATGTTATTATTGTCTTGTTATTATATATAGCCTTTTGTTGAATATCATTGTATATTTCTCTATGGTAAGTACTTGTTAGGTTCCATTTAAGAGACTTTTGTTTACTTTGTGGTTGTGAAAATACATTCTTTTTTAAGCTGTCTTCTAGAAGTGGTATTGTCGTATCTTCAACATTTAGGTCTGTTATCTATCTGGAGTGAATTGCTGTGAATCATGTGAGGGTAGGAATCAAGGTACAGTTTGGTCCCTGTGGATATCCATTTATTAAAAAGGCCACATTCCCCCCACTGCACTGCAGTGTCGTCTTTGTCATTAGTCACGAGTGAGACCACATTTGTGTGGGTCTGTGTCTAGACTCTATATTTAATTTTTTTGGTCTAATTGACCAGTCTCCATTATCTTGATTACTACAGCTTTCTAATAGGTTTTAATATCCAGTAGTGTATGTCTTCCAATTTTATTCTCCTTCTCAAGATTGCACTGGTTATTGCTGGTCTTTGGTAGTTCTAAACAGGTTTAGGACAGATTTTTAATTTCTACCAAAAAAAATAAAATAAAAAGAAATTAGGGGATGTGGGGATTGATTGGGTTTGCCTTGAATCTGTGGCTCAATTTGAATACAATTTACTTTTTAGAAATAATGGGCCATCTAATTCATGAATATAGTATATTCTTTGTATAATAATACACGTACATTGACTTTTACATTTAACTTTGTATTTAGTAACCTTACGAAACTTATTTATTAATTTTAATTATTTATGGGTTCTTTTGTATTTTCTGTGTATGATAAATGACATATTTATGTAATCCTTTCCAGAGATTTATACCTTTCAGTCTGTTTTCTTGCCTTGAGCAATGAATGGCAAGAAAATAGACTGAAAGATATAAGCTTCCTCCAGTATAATGTTAAATAAAAGCTGTTAAAGTGGGTATACTTTTCTAAGGGACATTCAGTGTTTCATTACCAATCCGAGTTTTGCTGTAGAATTTTGTAATTCCCATTGTTAGGGAGTTTTCCCTTTAGTTCTTCTTTGCAGGATATTTTTTCATGACTAGAAGCTGAACTTTATCCGTTGCTTCTTCTGGGGCATTGCTTTCTGTGAGACATAATTATGTGCAGGGATTGGACCAATTCTTCAAGATAAACAGTTGGCAGAGTGGAGGGCTCACCTGGATTCATTTTCTTTCCCTCCAGAATTTTTGTCTCTTGGGTACTGGCTGCTTTGGTTACTCTAATATTTTCAGATCATTTTCTCTGTATAGCCCAGTCATCCTCAAACTACAGCCTGGGGGCCACATGCAGCCCACCAGGTGTTTTTGCCGCTGCTGCCTGTCCTGCTTAGCAGCCGACTCGTCCCGGGCTGCAGTCCAGCCCTCCAACGGTCTGAGGAACAGTGAACTGGCCCCAAGTTTAAAAAGTTGGAGGACTCCTGGATAGCCTATCTAGTTAATTGAGTTATCTGGTTTTTGTAGGACACTTAATATTCTTCCTTTGTTTTAACTAGAAATATAAATTTATTTTATTTTAATGAAAAGGAGAACAAAAGCAAATTGAGTTTAGATGGCTGAAAAGTTGGCATTTGGACTGGCTAGCCAAGCGAGTTTACCATTTGTTATCTCTTATTTAACAATTTATGTAATTTTTCTGTGTGTTGTCCTTCTACAGTTTCCTATGTTTGAGGTTGTATTTGTTGTCTTTTCATGTCAAAACTATTTAGATATTTTTATTTATTTTAGGTGTCCCATGTATTTACTTTATATGAACTACCAAGAGACATTCTAGAAAACATTTAAAACTTACTTTTGAAACTATTGTAGCAGTGAAAGAGGATTACTTTTCTTTTTCTTTCAGGTACACCTGCATTTATTTTTACTTTTTATTATTTTTTTTATTGAATCATAGCTGTGTACATTAATGCAATCATGGGGTACAATGTGCTGGTTTTATGTACCATTTGAAATATTTACATCAAACTGGTTAGACGGCCTTCACTGCATTTTCTTAGTTATTGTGTTAAGACATTTATATTCTACACTTAGCAAATTTAACATGTACCCTTGTAAAATGCACGGTAGGTGTGGTCCCACCAATTACCCTCCCTCCACCCATCCTCCCTATTTTTTAGTCCTTAAAGATTGAGTAAGTTTTTGAGAAAGCCTACGAGATCACTTACCTAAACTTTGCTCTGGGAAATTGCCAAGAAGGAAGTATTTTCATCCAGGCTCTTACCAAAAATTAATTGAAATATTTTAAAAGGGTATACTCTGTTGTCAATATTAGTTATTAGCATGACATAGATTCTTCTTCTTTTTTTTTTTCGGGGGGTGGTGCGGAATCTCAAGCTGTTGCCCTGGGTAGAGTACTGTGGTATCACACCTCACAGCAACCTTAAACTCTCCGGTTTAAGCAATTCTCCTGCCTCAGCCTCCCAAGTAGCTGGGACTACAGGCGCCTGCCAATAACACGCCTGCTTTTGTTGTTGTCGTAGTTGTCATCGTTTAGCAGACATGGGCTGGGTTCAAACCCTCCAGTCTGGGCGCATGCGGCTGGGGCCATAACCACGGTGCTACAGGCACCGAGCCAGCATACCATAGATTCTTAAATTTTGATTTGAAGGAAATTTTTGTTATCTAAAGTCCCTTATTACATAGATGAGAAAAGCGAGACTCAGAAATACTCAGATCATTGACTAATTTGTCACCATTAATGTGTCTGTTTCCCTGAGCCCATCTGTATCTGTTGGATACAAAGCTAACCCCATATTTCCTTCTATTTGTGACCCTTATTTCTTTTATGACGACACACACATATACATATTCACATTCTGCTTCTCAAAAAAAAGAGTCATTGATACTTTCCTCCTCGCTTCTGAGTTTTGTGAAATCTGAGGCATATTTTTATCTTAAACTGGAAGGAAGCACGACTTAACTATTTATTAAATTTTCCTTCTAGTGTAGGAAGTAAATAATACTGAGGTAGAAATGACTAATTGAAGTGCAACGTTTGTTTTTACTAGATACAGTTTGGAACTTTATCAGATTATTTTGATGCGCTGGATAAAGCAGATGCAAATCAGAGAGAGAAGAGACAATCGATGTTTCCTGTTGTAAGTGGGGATTTTTTCACTTACGCTGACCGAGATGATCATTACTGGAGTGGCTACTTTACATCCAGACCCTTTTATAAACGAATGGATAGAATCATAGAATCCCATCTAAGGTACATTTTACCTTTCGATATCTATATTTACTTATTCACTTCTTTTATATTCTAGCCTTTTGTAGAGTTTTGTGTAACATACATCATTTATGTAGTGTTAATGATGTGCTTAATGTAATTGTGGAATTTTAATGCAATCAGAAATATGTTGCCAGAGTATGATCAAATTATTACATGAGTTTTTGTTCTGGAAGGAAAAGTAATTTATCTAATTAAATCTTCTAGGAGTTGTATTCTGAATTTTATGTTATGTCTAATTATCAATAATTTACCTATGGTATTTGCATATTGTATTAATAGTCAGTGACACCATCGTGAGTATTTGCAAGGCACTAAACTGATAGGTTGAATTGTTAGATGGGTGAGTATTCAAGAAGCATATAGGGCGTCAGTGGCCAAAATAAGGGCTTCAAAGTACATTATCTAAAATTAGCATATTTTGTATGTGCAAGGACTTTAGTGATTCCATCTCAATTCTTATTTACTTGAAACACATTTCTATAGGTATGGTTTTCTGCTTAGAAGAACAAAATTTCTAAAAATGAGAACTGATGGAACAGGCAGTGATTGGTTGAAAAAAGTAAATAGATACTAAGAAGGCAGAAAAATCAATAGAGAACTTAGAAGCACTAAACTGGCATTATCCAGTAGAACTTTCAATCACCGAAGAACTTTGTGTAGTGGTAGGTTCCATTTCTGCACTGTCCAGTATAGTAGTCATCAGACACGTGTGACTGTTGAGCATTTGAAATGTGAGCAGTGTGACAGATGAACTTATTTTTCATCTAATTTCAATTAATTTAAGTATCAGTAGCCATATGTGGCAAGTGACTACCATACTGGGGAGTGCGATTCTAAGTAACTGTGTCTGATTATTTTTTGGTAAAGATAAATTACCTCATGGGCTTCTGAAACTTTCTCTATGTGTAGCCTGGTAAAGTAATTCATTTCTACGATGAATTTTGCTATTAAAAAATGTTTGATCATTTGAACTCTCTTTTATGTATTAGTGAATATTTAGCACATTTTGGAAGAGCTTTTTAGAAAAAAATCATAAATTTCCTTATGACTTGTACTTTAGGATAATGTGTTTTATTATTATTACTTTTGTGTTACTGATACTGTTTATAAAGATTAACCTTTGACTGTTATTTGGGGTATGCCAAAAGAATAGATCTTATTAAACTTACAACAAAATAGCATTTATGTATTATATTGACTTATGCATTCTTGCCCAATAGAATGTCACCTAGTTATCTGTTATTATTGTAAACTTTCTATGATAAAATACAGTCTATTTTAATAACGTAGAGTTTCTTTGGGACAACTGAATTAGTGATTTTTAAGTGCCAGGTATTTTTTAGTGGTAAAGAATTGTGAATATTGGTTTGATCTTAATTTATTGAACATGTTCAAGACATAATGGTTACTATTATTAATATACAGCACAACTTCTATAAATTGACCACACAGGGGACTGTAATTGGTCAGCTTACAGAGGTGGTCAACATAAAGAAGCAAGCCTACTACACTGATATGTACATGTGGTGCATGTCTGGTTTATGAAAATTAAGTCAACTTAAGGAAGTGATCAATGTAGGGTGCTGGTCAACTATTGAGGTTGTACTGTATTTTGAAAATTCTACTACTTTAAAACAAAAGAAAGCAAAACGCTATACAGCAGTTGTGAATTTCCAAATACATTAATTTATTTGAAATTAAATTTATTGTCAGAAAATAGTAATATTTCACTTTATGTTCATTTGTAAAATATAGTTAAAGTAGAAAAGTATGAAAGAAAATATTTCCAACATTCACTTTTTAATACTGTGGGGTATCTGTATATGGGTATGTACTTTTTCTAAAACCAAGACTATTCACTGTTCACTAGTCAAATATATGAACGTTTTTGAACAATTGACTTAATTCAAACTTAATCACATGCCGTGATTTTCATAAGAGTTAGCATTTACAAGTAGAGATTGTTTACTATCCTTTGATTATTTCCCCAGTTTAGAAGAATTAATAACTTAATTTTTACAAAAATATACTTCGAGTATCTCCTTTTTCCCAGTCTTGATGCATTTTCCAGCTGCTTGGATTTTCTCTCCATTGTCCATTCTCTCCATTGTTTGGCATATAGAACCTTTTTAACACTTTTCACTTCATCAAGTATCTTAAACCATATCCTCTGATGAAAAAAAAATTAGAGGTGGAAGTCATAGCCACCACATTCTTACTCAAAGGCTATTTTTATACTAAATTTTTAAAATACATGAGAAATGATATCCTACTTAACATTTTTAGTTCACATTGTTAAATTCTCTATATTTGTTGTATGCCGTCATTTAAAATTGAGACTGACCCCTTGCCCCTGAGCTATCACTGGGCCATCATTCGCTGTCTCTGCGTGTTCCATCCACATGACCATGTGTTTCTCATCTCTTCTCTTAAAGTGCATATAGGACAGTAAATGGCTATCTCATGGTGTTCATGCTGTCTATGCTGCTTTAGGAGAAAAGAATGGATGGAGACATTTATTTAATTCTTAACACTATAGGCAGAAATTTTTTCACTGTGTTAGACATGAATAAATCTGCCGCCAACAGGTGCTGGCTTCCTTCCAGGATCATCTAGAATAAAGGCCCCTGATATCAGTGTGATCATGGTGTGATTTGATAATTGAGAATTTAAATATGTTCAGTGGATACCTTGATGGTTTTATATATGTTTATTATCAGTGTTTTTTTCATAAATTGTACTAAAATTGTGGATTTTAGAAAAAAATTAAAACATTGTCAATGTTACATGTTTTAGATTATAATATAAAATATTTATTTTTAAATAAATACCAGTGACTTCTTTTATACAATTAGGGCTGCTGAAATTCTTTACTATTTTGCTCTGAGACAAGCTGAGAAATACAAGATAAATACATTTCTTTCATCACCATATTACAAGACACTTACAGAAGCCAGAAGGAATCTGGGACTATTTCAACATCATGATGCTATCACAGGAACTGCGAAAGATTGGGTGGTTGTAGATTATGGTACCAGGTAATGTAATTTTAGGAAAATCATCTTCATAAAAAGAATCTCTTCATATTTGGGGTCATAGATTATGTATCTTTTGATGAAATTGTTAGTGTAAAGCTGACCTCATTAAGAGTGTTATCCCTCCTATGTATTGCTACCACAAAACATCACCAATTTTTAAAACATTTTTCAAGAACTCTGTTGACAGACTCTTAACCACTCCAGCATTTTATTGCAGTGCATTTCTGCAAATACTGTAGTAAAACATTGCTATTGCTATAGAAAGCTGATGCTATTATCTCCTAAATACAGTGTGGTGATTGGAGTTATCTTCTTGTCCGAGGACTCGATATCAAACAAATCATAGTTACAATTCAGGGAGATGAAGACTCTAACTTCACTGTATATTGGTTTAATCTCTTCCTATTTCATATCCGATTGTTCTTAGATACTTTTTATTTTCAATAGAGGGACATTGAGAAAAAAGATTAAGCTGAGCCGCATAGCTAGGAAGGAGAAGGCCCTAGAAAGCATGTCATTTATGAATGATATGGGCAGTTGGGAATGAGAAGGGCTGGCCTAGGTGTTGATACCAAAAACTATTTTCAGTTCATTGAAGGGCTGTTAGATGAGTGAGGGAATCCGAGTTCAGTTATTTCTGTATGAAACAACTAGAAATGATGCCTACAACCATCTCAGAATATCAAAGGAATATTTGAACAGTGCTTTCCAACAATGGAAAAAGCCTAACCCTTTCTAACAGTGAGTTGTCTGTCATACCAGAGCGGATGAGCATCCATTGGTGTTAGTGCAGAGGGAATCCTATGTTGGGGAAAGAGTTTTGACTTTTTTTTAAAGTAAAGTTAAGACAATTATTTCTTCCAGATATTTTTTATGCCAACAGAAAAAAATGCTTTGATGTTATGTTATGTTATGCTTTGGTGTTATTTTACAATTGTTTAAAATATATTGCGTTTCTCTTAAAAGTAGATTTTAAAAGTGATATCTTTATTATAACTATCGCTGTATGAGAAAAGTATACACAGACGGTGCCTGTGGCTCAAAGGAGCAGGGCGTCAGCCCCATATGCTGGAGGTGGTGGGTTCAAACCCAGCCCTAGCCAAAAATTGTAAAAAAAAAAAAAAGAGAGAGAGAGAGAGAAGTATACACAATACATAAAATCAATCTTAAAATATTGACCCACAAAGTATATTACTAATTGTAGTAAATGTTGATTAAAAATCTAGTTACAATATTTTGACTGGGTTTCTAGAAATTAGAAGAAAACATTCTTTAGGTGGACTTAAATATTCAAGGCAGTGTCTTGACCGTCTTCCCAATTACCTTTTGGCTTCCATCTATTCAGGCTGATCTGGGGTTAAAGTAGAAAACACTTACTAGATGATAATGATGTTAGTATTTCTCCCACAGAAAGCATTATTGAAAGTAAGTTCAGATCCTCCATTTTTCCTTTTCACCTGCCTTGGTTTGCTGAGAGTTTAAGAGAGGGACTCAGCGTCAGACCACAGCAGAGCTTCTAAGAGGACATGGAAAGGTCATTCTCCTATTCTTTCTACTTGCTCTCTAGGTGATGAGATTGAGAGAGATTTGGGTACAGGTCATTGAGTTTTTGCTATGGAACATTTTGTGTCTCATGACCTTTCCTAAAGGGCTGTCATTACTTCCTCCAGGTGTTTTATGTTGCTTTTAGCTTATAAAAACTTCCTTGTACTGAATTGCACGTTAGGGAAGAAAAGACAATAATTCTCAAATTGTATTTGACATTCATAAATTTGCTACGTGAGGAGCACTTCATACTTCAATGAAAAGTCATAACCAACTACCCAGTCATTAGCTCAGATGTTTTAAGGAGGATATTTCAAAACACAAGTTAGAAAATTATCAACAAGGGGCAGCTAGTTTGGGGTGTTCTCTCTTCTTGGACTGATAACTACTGTCCCTTCACGTGTTGGCATAGATACTCCTATGAACATGTGTATGCATTAGGGATGGCATTGGGCTTCGCAATAGCAGCCTGAAACAGAATAGATCTGTCTCATCCTGCTTATTTTTATGTCATGTGAAAGAAACCTACAAGTAAGTGATTCAGGTATCGTAGCTTCACCATGTTAGCAGGGATCTAGGTTCTTTCTCCTCCAGCATACTAGAGTGACTTAGAAAGTCATACTCTCAACAGTAGATTAAATATTTATGTGATTATAAACTAAAGACCAAGAATGTATACATATTGTGGCAAAATTTGAGGTGATTCTGATTATAGCATGAAAAAATGAATTAAACTGGGACAATGTTTGTAAAGAACATTTCAGCCTAGAAGGCAGTAAAAGGACTTATGTGGAAGGGAAGGAGAAATGGTAATGAGATCAATTACAGAAATGTTTGAAATTCAGCCAATTACTCCTAACTTGTGTTTATGGTTAGGCAGAAGAAAACCATACAAAGGGTGAAGATAAGGGTCCTAACGTGTAGATCAAGTTGTAAATGACAGACAGACAGCAATCTCCTCGAACAACAACCAACAACGGCAGCAAGCTAGAAAACTGTGATTCCCAAGTGGTTTTCCCTCCACTGTATCCCATATTAAGAGCATAAGTGCATGCTAGAAAATTAGAAGTCCCAAGAAATCACATATTAATGATATGTTGAAACATTTAAATTTTTGTTTTAAAAAACAGCATTTCCCAAACTTCTGTTTTATTTTAAGCAAAATAGCTTTGTGGGTCCTGAGAAGATACTTGCAGGATGCTGTGCTGTAGTCTGCAGGCCTCAGCTCAGTGGAAGGCTGCGTGTGTGCCTTTAGGCTGTAAACGTGGATTTCTGACTCACTCAATTTCATTAAGACTCTTTAGTACAATGTAATACATATATGCTTTTAGCTGGTAGTAAATATAACTTGTATTCTGTAGGTCCAGGTTGTCTAATAAAGATAGCCATATAGATAATGGAAATAAACTTAGACTGAGCGGCTTATTTCCATAACTGAACTGTATTCATTTGTATGATTTTTTTTAGCCTGGTGAGAACACTTAGTACTATCTAGCAAATCATTTGAATATACTGAGAAATTTAATTAAATGACTGCATGAATTCAAATCCTTGAGATTTTAGTATGACAATTATAAATTTCCTATGCAAATGTATTTATTTAATATTGATCATAATCACATCTTTGAAGGAAGTCTTAACCCTATGCAAAAAAGAAGTTATTTCAAAAATTTTTTACATTTTTTCTGTTGTATGACAGCAAAAATGTCTTTAAGGCATAGTTCCACAGTTGCTTTTGTATTACAGAAAATAATATAATTTCCCTATAATCATAATAGATTCATTCCCATGGTTGATCGAAAACATGATTAATGAATATTCTCTATAGATTTTTCCAATATGAGTTTACCTGGTCTGTAAAACCTTAAGAAAAAAATCTTCAGGTTCTTTTCCCCTTAGTCGTTATGTAGTAACAGCTGGTAATGTACCAAGACTATATTCTAGAAATGACGATAAATCAATAGATTCCTAAATATCCTGTTGGTTCCTCAGACATAAAAATACAATTTGAATACAGTTAGTAATTTCAGGGACTAAGAAAATTAACAAAGATGAAGACAATTTCATTATCCAGGTCTGTGGAAAACTCTCCTCCTCTTAGTTCTTTTAAACAAGAACAAAAAACTAAATTCAACACAATATCTATATAATTCTTGGAGAATGGCTTGGAATCTTAATTAAATTTAATTTAAGTTAATCCTATGTTTTCTTTGGTTGTTGTTTCAACCCTTGTTAAAGTTTTCTCTACATTAAAGTAGCAAATCATTGTTTTCTGCTAGGCCTTTTAGTTTTGGGGTTTCCATACCAAATACTCTTTTCATTTGGTATGATAGTCATGTAAGTAGTTTGAGTAAGTTTATATGTTTCAGGTAGGTCTAGAAGCTTTCAATTTTAATGAGGCCCTATCATTGATAATCTTCTAAATTACCATTTTTCTAAGTGTTTAGTTCTGATGAACAAAGAGCCAGTTTGTTACAGATTCGTCATAGTTCTCTCTTTGTGAATACAAGATGACAATAATGGTGGTTTGGCCATTATGAAAGAAATTGAAAATACTATATGCAGATTTTAAAATTATTTCTGAGGCTAATAAAATTTTTGGTTTGCAGACTCTTTCATTCACTAATGGCATTGGAAGAGATAATTGGACATTCTGCATTTCTTCTTATTTTGAAAGACAAACAGTCGTATGAGGTGTATGATTCTTACTCTTCTGATACCCTCGACATGGTGAGTTGATCTCTGTATATTCATAAAAATGTGTGATTCTTTTGTTCTTGTGTTAGTAAAGGGGATGTGAGTCTTGATTAAAAGAAACATTGAAATACGTATAGGCAGTGGCCCAGTTACAAACAACCGACTTACATACAAGTGTACTTTCATGAATGGAGGCTGTTACAGATCATTGATAATTGTACCTGTTCCAGCTTACGTACAAATTAAACTTAAGAATAAGCCTACAGAACGTATCTTGTTTGTAACCTGAGGACTGCCTGAATAATTATTTCTTTATATATTATTTGAAAAAATTTGTACTACTTCACGTATTCTGCCTATACTTCTTGTATAGGCAAAAACTTCTTGTCAGTTTTTGATTTCTAATTTGTATTTTGTTGTGACTAAATCTAAATATGACAAATCAAACAAGAGTATTTCAAGATTTGTGAAATATATAGGCTTTTAGAACACTATTGAGATGATACTGTAAGACAGTTGGACATTTTCTTTAAAGAATTTGATTAGAAACCCCTCGGCATTTGAATTTTTTAAGTCCTTAACCTGTTCTTGTTGAACTCTAGAATTTGAGTGGTTTCCTAGTTTCAGGATGAGTCCACTGAGTGCCTTGACAGTGCTGAAGTGTGTATCACAATAGAGCAGTGATTAAGGAATTAGCCTCAGCCCTGCACCTGATTGTTGGGTCCTTGAAAAAGTTATTAAACATCCCTGAACCCTAATTCATTTATCTGGAACATGAGATGATCATATTTGCCTTGCCTTTTGCTTGTTAAGATCAGAAGAGCTGATAGAGCAGGACGTGCTATGAACATGCTGTTTGCAGCTAGGAAAACAGCTGAGAAAGTGGCTGGTCGCAACCCTTTATACACTTCTACTTGGCAACGCAGATATTTTAAAATTGTAATTTATTTATTATTACTATCTACTACAAATGATGATGGGCTTCGAAATTTTACATGTACTTTGAATTTATACATCTAGAATCAGAAATATAGATTAATTCAACATTTTCATATACTGGTGCTTATGATCAAGTCATGATTGTCCATTTTTACATTAAAGTAAAATGGACCTATGTCTCTTAAGGATAGAAAACATACAGTATCAAAGGAAAATAGAAAAGCTTCTTGCAGAACTGTCTTTAGAACTCTGATTTGATGTTCCTAAGACCTGTTAATACTTGAATCTAAACACATATGTGCACACATACACGCGTCTGCACACACCTGCACATGTGCACACATGTGTACACAGATTGTTTTGAATTTTGATGTAGTTTATGTAGCTGGAAGCAGGATTTTTTTTTCTATTATGTCCTTACCAAGATTTCCACAGTACTATTACATAGCTAACTTTGAAACTTAAGTTTTAAAAGTAAAATAAAAATTATTGTTCACTTTTATAGGATTTCAAGCAAAAATCACAGGATTCTCTGCCACAAAAAAACATAATACAACTGAGTACAAAGCCAAGGTAATTCGTAATTTCTCATAAATCCTTACCATTTTTCTGGATTAATATTTTTATTTTTTATGGATCTGATCTTTAGTCAGCATATGCTTTGAGACAGTATTTCATTTAATCAATTTATTAACTTAAAAACATTTTCTAAAAGATTTTCTTCCATGACTGTTGACTTCATTGCTAATAGCTAACACAGTGTTCAGTACATCGATTGTTGAATAAATTATAACAACATTTTTCACTGAGACTGGTATGAGATGGTAAATATATAGCTTATGATAAAAAATTCTCTATAATATTGATTATTTTTATATTCTATCCTTTCTTGATTAACATGTCATTTAATTACCTTGTTTTTATTATCCCTGATCCTATCTTTTAAATGAAAGAAGAAAATTATTAGAAGATGAAGGTTTCTACCATAAATTGTTCACTAGATAACTCATTTTGCTTGTCTATTTTATGGTTAGGTAAATCAAAAGGGTGTTCAGTGACCTTAAATCAAGTCGTTTAATTGGTGGCTCCTCTGATTTACAAAGAAATATTCTATGAATATGAGAATTCTGTGAATTCTTTAACCATCAAAGTATCTGTTTTTCATGACCAAATATCTCTGTCATTACCCAATGGAACAGGAATGCAGTGCTTTTGTATATATAAGAGGTTTGTAATGTAACCTTTCATTGTCAAAGTGAGGAAATTTAATACTACCTCTTACAAATTACAGGATAAAAGAATACTTTTAAAGAGTAATTTGTGATTTAACTAAGTATACTTTATTAAAATTATTTTTAAAATGGAGTCAAAGTATTATAGAAGATTTATAGTTGCTGGTAAAGTTGAGAAGTTGGTAAAGTGTAGACTAAAGCCTTATTTGTATAAATTTCTTCTCTAATTATAGACTTCAGACATGTGCAGTTTATTCCTTAGCACAGGAAGATAAGTGACTTTTAGTGATGCTGAAGGTCTCAGCAACACTACTAAAGTCTTCAGAGCTTTCAGATTCTCAGGTCATACATAGTTGGGCTGAAAGGGTAATAACATTGAAAGGAATATTCATTACAAAATTACAAAATGTTTCTTTTCCCTAAAAATAAGTAATGCATTTATTCCTTTGGGATTATAGGACTGTCCCTTAAATATTATGCCCTTAATAAACTGTGGCATTAGTAAATTTATTTGATGTTAGGCACAATCCTCTCATCTATTAACTTAAATAAAAAATGTTAGTAGAGGAAGATCTTAGTTTTTTCAGGTTATAAGAGTGCTTCCTGCCCCATCCCTATCCCATAGTGTCCCCGGGGGTGCACATTGTAAGTGGTCAGCTGGGGCTGGACCCATAATGGTCAGGGAGAGATGTGCCGTTCGCTTTCTCTCCGCCTGTACTGTCCCAGCCTTCCCAAGCAGGAATTGGTAACTGAGCATTACTTATGCTCATGAAGGAAAGTGAGGAGATAGCAGTGTGGTAATAAAAGAGAAGAGATATTTTTGAGCTTTAATATTGAGGAGTTTTAATTATAGATAAACATAAATATAATTTGTAAACCTATTATAGTAAAATGATTGCTTTTTTGATATTTAAACCATTTGTATTTAAGTCATTTTACTACTTTTTCTTTACTGTTCTTTTTTCTATCAAATACCAGTGTTACTATTTCCATTGTTAGGTAAATTGGGGCTCCTTCTGATTTTCAGATGCTTAATTTTTATGTTTATTATCCATTTTATACTTTAGGCCTTCTTATGTTTTTGGTTTTAAGATCTATATTTGTTAGCCACAAATTATTTGATAGTTACTGATCTTGCATAACATCAGCAAAGAATGGAGCAATGATAGTGGCCTTTAAAAGAGAAGAATTTGATAATTTTATTCATCAGGAACTGAAAGTTAGTAATTGACCTTCTCAATCTTTAACTTAAAACTTTTAGAAGTATGGCTCTGAGTCTTTATTGTATTATCTATGAGTCTTCTATAGTTCCAGGGCTCAGCTTTATTTTAATTATAAACACAGTTCCTACTTCACTATCAAACTGTTTACTAAATAAACTTTGCGTTTTTAATGGGGAAGATAAACTCCCCAGGAGTACATTTTATTCTTTTAAAAATATAAAGTACAGGTAAAGTACATAAAAGTTTAAACAGTGTTTATATAGAGGGTGCCAAAAAAAGTATATACATTTTAAGAAAGGAAAAAACTGTATCAAAGTGATTATATTCAATGTTTACTGATAATATTTGTTATATTTGTATCTTGTGTCTCGTAATTAATTGTGGAAGTCAAATGTGACTGAAGTCTTATAATTTTAACATTTTTTTTTCCTTTCTCAAAGCATGTATTTTTCCTTTCTTAAAGTATGTTTTTTGTGTGTGTGGTATAAAAATTGAATAGAGGGTGATTAAGAAATAAATGTCTAGGGACAGCGCCTGTGGCTCAAAGTAGTAAGGTGCCAGCCCCATATGCTGGAGGTGGCAGGTTCAAACCAGCCCTGGCCAAAAACTGCAAAAAAAAAAAAAAAAAAAAGAAAGAAAGAAATGTCTAAAAAGAGTCCTTAGGGAGGTGATAATATAAAAGTTTGAAATACACTTCTCTAAACCTATAGTGTTTAAGTATTATACGTAAATGAATTTGATTGTCCTGTTGGCAAAATTAGTTAAAACTATACCCTAACATAATTCGGTTTGTAGCAAGAGTAGAATCTTTGTAAATTGACCACCCAACACACTGTAACAAACTGTCATAGACCTGGTAACATAAGGAGCTAGGTCTGCTGTACTGATATGTACATGTGGTGTATGTCTCATCTATGCAAATTAGGTCAACTTGAAGAGGTGGTCAGTGTAGGGAGCTGGTCAACTATGGAGGTTCTACTATATGTAAAAAGCAGACTATAATTTGCTGAAAGTGACCTGAGTACATTTTGATGTTCCTAATTTAGTTCACAGAGTTATTTGAAGTAAATAGTATATAAACTGGTAGTTTTGGTATAGAAAATAGGTACATTTAAGAGTTAAAATTAGGTCACCCTCAACATGTCATAAATTGTCTAACCTTAGATAATTCATAAATGTAAAAAGATGTTTCTGTTCCTCTCTACGTTCATCATTTCCTAAGGAAATTGACTGTAGAGAAACAAAACGATGACTTGCATGATTAGGGACTTGGAAGAGGCTGAGACATTGATGACACAGGTGAAGTCTGAGATGGGTGTAGAGAATTCAGTTTTCGTTCAGCATCCCCTCTGTTCAGATAGGACAGGAATAAATACTACAACGGCACACCCTAGGAAGTGGTGTGATTTGACAAGTTGACAAGGAACTCTTCGTTTAAGGTAGATAATTCAAAATGCTATCAAGTGCAGGCAGAATGGGGACCAAAAACCCCATTCTTGGCAAAGGAAAGCACTCCCAGAAAAAAGGAAAAACAGAGAAATAAGCTAAGTAAGGCAGAATAAAAACTTCTAAAGTGGCCGCTAAATTCCTTATCTGAGCAGTTCCTGCTTTTCCTGGAAGCCTGGCCCTTGGGGGATATGGTTTGCAAACACCCCTGCTGGGTTTGTGAACACTCTGAAGAAATCATGGCTGCAGAGGAACTGCATGCAAGGCCTGACACAAAACATTAACTAGGCCATCCCCTGCCCAGTCAACAGCCAAAGCAAATAACCTATTGTGGGGACTTGTATTTGGCCAAGGCAGAGATCAAGGGAAGAACTTGAAATATGGGCAGGAGGGCTGGTGTACCCTCTTATCAAAAAGGAAGATGCCTATGGGAAGAGATCAGAGGAAAATTCTTCTTTCCACCAATTCTTCAGAGGAGCCTGACACTGTGTGGGCGTTTTTTTCCACAGTGATCCCTAAGGAATCAATCTGTGTGTGTGACCACAGACAGGAGGCTGCCCCCCAACACAAGGCTCAGGTTTTGGATTTCTTAAGGCTGCTCAGACCCTTAATGATTATAGATAGAGTAAGAGTTGACATGCTTACTCAGAATCTGCTGACGTTTTTGTTCCCTTCCTCAGCTTACCTCTGTGCTAAATGAGCAAATAGTGTTCAATAAAACATGAATGGAACAAAGACTTGGTGCCATCTGGTAAACCTCACAAACGAGCAGTGGTCCCCTATGTTCCCCACCTTTGAAAAGTCTAGTCTATGTGTTCTGTCTCCTTATCTCTCACTGCTTCTAACTTTACTTTTGTTCAGTTGATTGCTGCCAGCTCCACAGGTCTTAAAGAACCTTGCCCCAGGGGGTGGACCCCAGCAATCAAGTATCTAATCAAAATTATACTGAGATAACCTGTCTGTAAATCTGAAAACTTAATTTTTCCAATAGAATTTTTTTTAGTTTGAGAGTAATGTATTCAAACTATTATTACAAAACTAGTAACAGATTTACCTTTAAGTCCTTTTGACGTTTAGCAATGTATTTATCCATAAGCAATCTTCTCTTTCTCTCTGTCTTGCTCCCTACCACAGTCCCTCCCTCTCTCTCCAAAAATAGAAGGGATTCACTTGAAAAGAAACTATTAACAATGTGGAGACACAGGGAAGTCAATGTTTTCTGGGCTTGGGTGACTTCAGAATATCAACTGGATATAAAGTACTTAATTCTGCAGAAAGGCTTTTAGTACCCCTATTTCCATTTGCTTGTTGAAAGGTTCTCCCTGGTTTCATCAATTGAGAGTCTGACATTCATCTTCTCATTCCCATTACTTTCTGTTTTAAGCCATTCTTTATGCTTTGCTTGAATGACTACAGTGGCTTCTTGCCCTTTCATCTTTAATTTCTCTAATCCCCTAATTTATCATGTGTCCTTAATAGAAGAATCTGCCCAAAGCAGAACTCTGAGAAAGTTACTTCTAATCTCAGCATCCTCCAGGGACTTCTCATTGCCTCCTGAGGAAAGTCTCTCCTGATAGTCAGATGTTTTAGTCTGTAACATACCAAACTCTACCCCCAAATTTAAAGTCCTAAATACTGTGTATTATCTCTCTCATGGTTCAGAAAAACTGTT